CCCCAAAACCCCAAAACCCCAAAACCCCAAAACCCCAATTTATAGTTATAATTTAGAAAATAGATGGCAACTATAAAGGAATTAGCTAGGATTTTTGAGAATAGAATTGAAGAAGAGAATAAAAGGGATCTAGAAAAGTAAGTTCTCGTTCAGGAGTTAGCTTAAAACCCTATGCTTAAAAATTCTAGGCAAAACCAGAGGAGAAGAAAGAACAGAGGGATAAAACAAATCGGGCTTCAGAACGAGAACGTGGTAAGAACTCTTTGGGATTTTGCCAACTTTTTAATAGATTGGAGATGACAGTGATGAGCAAGAGAACCAACAGAAGAAAATTAAGCAAAGAAATGCAGCTCCTATTCGATCAACTGCAGCAAGAAATCAGCAACCCAAGATTAGCAATAAGGCAGGAGTTATTGGAGACAGTAGTAGTGATGAAGAGGAAGATCCAAATGCAAAGTTTAACAATCGGGATATTTTTAAGAAAAATTCCCCTGTTGTAATCGGAGGTGATGAACCAGAACTTCCTAGGTATGTTAATAAGACCAAGCCAAAAGTTACAACCCATAAAAGAGTAGTTATTGGTGATGACTCTTCAGATGAAGATACTAATAAATTTATTAACAATCAGAAGCCGAAGATAGCTACCTCGGGAGTTATTGGAGATATCGATGACTCTGATGAAGAAAAAGAGAAGGAAAAGATGTCAAAAATAAGAAATTCATCTGGTGGATTGGCTCCTGACCCGAATTATGCAGACCAGCTAAGCTCCCTGTATGCACAAAAGAAGGTCATTAAGGACCAAGAGATAGAAGCAAAGGAGAGGAAGCTTAAATAAGTATTACGAAGAGAAGAAGTATAAAGATTTCACAAAACTAGCAGACAGCTCAGATGAAGAAGATGCTAATAAAGAAGACCTAGATATGGAAGAACTTTGGAGCAAGTTCGCCCAAAAACATATTGAAAAGCCTGTAATGAAGGTAAGCCCACCCCATATGCTCTTCCGCATTATCTCAACCTCTTTAGGGTAATAAGAGAAGGCAGAAGAAGAAAGGATTTGAGTTATAGCCAAAAAAAATCGGCAGTCATGTTCAATATTTTCAGAAAAATAAGGGGTTTTGGGGTTTTGGGGTTTTGGGGTTTTGGGG